TGTACATGTACAGCCGCAGGAGAAGGCAGCCTTCTGAAAAGGATGGCCAGCCTTACTCAGGGTCTCTCTTCTCATAGCAGCCTGGGGTCCAAGTGCAGAAGCCCTTGCGAGCCTCTGAACCTGTCCCTGCTCCAATCCCTCCCTCCCTCCTGCTTCAGGATAGTTGAGACCCAGCCTGTCCTGACTTACCTGAGTTGGAGCACAGCTGCTGTGCAAGGCTGTCATGGTCCACCAGAACAGAGAGCAGCTCAACAGCTAGCAGCACACATGGCAGTGGCAGCTCTGAGCTGAGGCACTGTGGCAACATCGGCAACACACAGGAGAACCTGAAAGATGGCACAGTTATGACATTCTCCAAAAGGACACTTACTGCAGTGAGACATGGTTTCAAATGCTGGCCCGACCATAGCCTGCTTGCTTCAAGATTGTCACAGGTAGACAGGTATTAACCTTTAAAAATGACAGGCCTTCAGTGGGGGGCAGGGTACATGTCTATAATCTCAGTACTTGGGAGGCAGAGGCAGGATTCACCACACGATGAGTTGGAGGTGAGCCTGGCCTACATGGAGACGAGTCTTACCACCATATCACAACCCTCATTCACCCTAAAGAAGATAGGCCTTATGTGGCTTTTTATCAAGTAAAGGGACAGGACTCCTTGGATCTGGGCTGCATGATCACACCCCAGGCCCCTTCCTGCATTTGCTCTCAAAAAGGGATGCAGGTCCATATCTTCAGCATGAGAAATGTCTTTTGTCTCATACCACAGGACTGGCCAGGGCTTTAAAAGTAACAAGGATGTGGCTACAGCTGTCTTATGAGGTCATTCATAGAACAAAGAAAGCCATTTTTCTGCACTTGTCAGAAAACACTGGTCTGTTACCAGTGTGAAAAGGTACCTACTATGGGGTACAGTGTGCATGTGTGAGAGAGAGGCTGGGCAGAGGTGGCGCACACCTTTAGTCCCAGCACTCGGGAGGCAGAGGCAGGCTGATCTCTGTGAGTTTGAGGCCAGCCTGGTCTACAAGAGCTAGTTCCAGGATAGGCTCCAAAGCTAGAAAAACCATGTCTCGAAAAAAGAAAAGAAAAAGAAAGAAAGAAACAGGGAGAAGAGGAGGAGAGAGAATGGATACAAATGTTATTTCCCCTTAGGTCTCAGAGACAAAGAGAGATGGCTATGGCCAAGGAATCAGGTCCCAAGGACTAGATTTGCTCTACCCACACAAGGGAGAAGTGGTAGGGTGAGAGAGAGGCCACCTAGGACCGAGGCTTATATCTGCAGCAGTCTGCACATACAGGGCATCTCAGCAGAGCATGAAGTGGAGACTGCCTATCTGTGTCACTAGAAAGCAAAGGTTCACACTCTTTTTATAACACATTCTTGTCTTTTTCTTTTTTTTCTGTGTGCATTGGTATTTGCCTGAATGCATGTCTGTATGAGGGTGGTGGATGCCCTGAAACTGGAGTTACAGAACTGTGACTGCTGCCATGTGGGTGCTGGGAATTGAACCAACTGAACCCGGGGACCTCTGGAAAAGCAAGTGCTCTTTTTTGTTTTTTTTCGAGACAGGGTTTCTCTGTGTAGCCCTGGCTGGCCTCAAACTCAGAGAGCCACCTGCCTCTGCCTCCTGAATGCTGGGACTAAAGGTGTGCACCACCACCACCCTGCATAAGTAGTGCTCTAAACCACTGAGCCATCTCTCCAGCTTTTGTTTTACAGCACATTCTACAGACAAGAAATTGGGCTTCAAGTTGACAGGTACTGTTGATCTCTGGGAAAATGGAATTTAACTTAGTTGCTTTCTGGCCTAACTATTCCTATGTATCCCACTATGGCCATTGAACGTACCTGGAGAGATTTTTATCTTTGGTTTCCAGTGTTTTTTTCTTTCCTCCCGTATCTGTAAAAACTTCTTTTACAATGTTAAGCTAGATATGGGGCGCACATCTGTAATCCCAGAACTCGGAGAGCAGAGGCTGGTGGATCTCCGCGTTCTAGGCCAGACTGGTCTACTGAGTGAGTTCCAGGCCAAGTGTGTGTGTGTGTGGGGGGGGGGGAACGTATATAATGAGACTGTCTCAAAAAGGAAACACACAAGTTACACGTAGCACCAGTCTAGAAAACTAGATGAATCCTGATCTCCGGGGGAGGCAGTGACACTGAGCAGACTGTAGGGTTCTCAGCTACTTACACCTGCTCTGCAGCCCTGATAGCATCCACCCTGGCTTTCACTAGAAGCTGTGCAGTTCATCCCGAGCACATGAATACAATGAAATCTACAGAGAAGTATTTTGTGGGGGGCTCTGTCTGAAAGTGATGGAGCAGTGGCTTATAATAATAACTGGGTCGGGACTGTCCCATCAATGTACCCTATGGCATTTTTAGACAAGCTTTTCTACTTCAACATAGGGCTTATTTAACAAACACTGACTGAGCATTTAGATTGAGCCAAGCTCTGTGTGAAGTATAGAATCCAGAGTCTCCAGGACTGTCACCTGAGCCAGTGAATGAAACACTTGTATCTGGCCAGTAGAAGTATCCATTAGATGAGAGTTATGAATATCTGTGGGTCAACAGAACAGGAGCACAGTGAGGGGTCTGTTAACAGAAATGGGAAATGTGGTTTCTGGGATTCCTCTTTAAGCACAGAGGAAACAAGCAACTATCCAGTATAAGTTGGGCCTGTGGATGGCAACTCTGCCCCATGTATTGTCTACACTGTACTGACGTGCTCTGTTCAATTTCATACATCACTTTGGGACAGATAAAACATGATCCAGAAGCACTTTTAAGAAATAGGAATGTAGTCAGGCAGTGGTGGCGCAAGCCTTTAATCCCAGCACACAGGAGGCAGAGGTAGGTGGATCTCTGTGAGTTCAAGGCCAGCCTGAACAAGAGCTAGTTCCAGGACAGCTAGGCCTGTTACAGAGAAACTGTCTAGAAAAACCTAAACAAACAAACAAATATAAATAAGTTAATTAAAAAATTAAAAAAAAAAATAGTAATGTTGGGTGGGCAATGGTGGCACACACCTTTAACTTTTAATCCCAGCATTTAGGAGACAAGAAATAGACAAATCTCCGAACTTGAGGCCAGCCTGGTTACACAAGAAACTGTCTTAAAAAACACACACACACACACCACAAAAAAGTAAAAGGAATGATAAGCTCAGAGGTAAGAATTTGTTTTTTGAGACAGGGCCTCACTGTATAGCTCTAGCTGGTCTCAAACTCAGAGATCAACCTGTCTCTGTCTACCAAGTGCTGGGTTAAAAGCATAGACCATGATGTCTGGCAGAGACTAGACCTAGACAGTGGTATTACTTTAATATAAAAATTGGCCTCTTGAAAAAAAAAATTGGCCTCTTGGGCTGGAGAGATGGCTCAGTGGTTAAGAGCAATGGCTGCTCTTCCGAAAGTCATGAGTTTAATTCCCAGCAACCACATGGTGGCTCACAACCATCTGTAATCAGATCTGGCGCCCTCTTTGGCGTGTGGGCATACATGGAGGCAGAATGTTATATACACAATAAACAAATAAATCTTAAAAAAAAAAAAAAAAAAAAGAATTGGCTTCTTGCCAGGCAGTGGTGGTGGAAGCCTTTAATTCCAGCACTTGAGAGGCAGAGGCAGGCAGATCTCAGTGAGTCTGAGGCCAGCCTAGTTTACAAAGGAAGTCCTAAAACAGCTAAGACTGTTATATAAACAGAAACTGTCTCGAAAAACCAAAACAAACAAAGCAACCCCCACACACACAAAAACCACTGGACCTCAGGGCTGGAGAGATGGCTCAGAGGTTAAGAGCACTAGCTGTTCTTCCAGAGGACCCAGGTTCAATTCCCAGCACCCACATGGCAGCTCACAACTATTTATAATTCCAGTTCAGGGGATCTGACACCCATGGCAAAATACTGATGCACAAAAAAAACAAAAAACAAAAAAAAAAACAAAAACAAAAACAAAACAAAACAAAAAACCACTTGGCCTCTTACAAGCATGGTTTGAGAGAAACAAATGGATGGCTGGATGGAAGGACAGGCTGGCCAGTGTTGATTATAATTCTCCCTATCTTGTCCTTGATGCTCTCAACTCCCAAGTTAGGAATTTTTTAAAGATTCATTCACTTATGCATGTTTTGCCTACGAGCATGTATGTACACCACATGCATATCTGCTGGATCCCCTGGAACTGGAATAACAGATGGTTATGAGCTATCATGTGGGTACTGGGAATTGAACCCAGATCCCTCTGCAGGAAAAACAAGCACTCTTAATTGCTAAGTCATCTCTCTAGCACCCCAAATTAGTGATTTATAACAATTTTTTGTGAGCTAGATTCATTGTACTATGACTTCTAACAAACTCCTCTTAAGAAGCAAGTAACCTGTGACTCACAGTAGATATGGACACAAGGTTGACAGACTCCCAGAAAGGTCAGCTCATGGCTGCAAACACTCCTGGAGTCTCTGCTTCCTTACAGAACTCTACCAAGTTTCAATATGTTGTGCCACAGTCATCACCTAATCCACATTTCAGTTTCAAAGGGCTCTAAGTCAACCTTTGTCTGGGGGCAGGACATTCACGGTACCTTATTCCATGTGCTTTGCTTATTTAGCCCCCTTCCCATCACTTCAGAATTCCCCTGAACTAAGCCACAGCTGAGTAGTAAAATGAAGTCAAGATGTGAACAAAGTACCAGAGCCACAGGTCAGACCTCAAGAGGTCAGGGCAGACCCCTAGGGAATCATGCCTCCTGTGAGTCTTTATACCTGGGCAAGAAATCAGAGGAAGCATTTTCAGCTAATTTCACCAAAACTTTGAGGCACTGGCTCAGGACACTGGCTTGAAAATGACCTGATGCTGTAGAGGAGAAAGCCATCAGCTGAAGAAGCATTGTCAATAGTGGATGCTGTTTTTGGTCATGAGCATCCTCCCTGGAGGCTGAGGTCGTATCTGTACAAGTCTGAACTGTGTTTCCTTCCCTGGCAGTGGCATCTGTCCCCAAGTCTGACAGTAATAGGCAGACAACTGCCCCGCTGTGGCATACCAGGTGCTGAAGAAGGCTAAGTGAGGCCACAGAGAAGCTTTCCAGGTGACAGATCGAGTCCTCCGGGCTGGCCTCTACCCCAGAGCTCACACAGGAGGTATGTGTTGGACAGTCCCCAGGCACACCACTTTTCTTAGCTAGAGTTAAATCTTGCAGAGCCTGGCAGTGTAAGCCGATGAAAAACTGTACAAGTGGGAGGAGGTGCACAGCTCCAGGAAGCTGGCAGAGCGGGAAGACTCTCCTGCTTCCCTTTGCTAGGTCTTCATCATGTGAGCTCTCATTCCTGGCAACCAGATTTAATCCAGTGAATGCCAAGTTCTGTGCTTCTCTCAGGGCAGAGGGGGAAAATGACCCATCCCGAGAACTGATGGTCCTGAGGCCTGAAATCCCAGCCAAGGTACTGGAAACAAAAGAAAACAAATTAGGTTAAGGACCCAAAATCACCTGTCTGCTAAGTTCTCTAGTCTCCCCAAACAAGCCATGTTGGGCCAGAACCAGAAAGGCACACACTTTTCTGGAAATACTTTCCCAAACAAGCTTTTCAGGAGTCTCATGCTTACCTACTGAGCCCCGGTGGCTGCAAGAGGGTGCCAGTAGGAACCTCGGAACAACTGCTCAGGAGATGACAAAGACCTAGAGATGACCCTGGGACCAAAGGTTGCTTCAGGAGCAGGTTTATCAAAATAGAACCTGCAAAAGACAAGGTAACTCCAGAATGTTCTGACGGGAGTTCTTCCTTCCCACCCTTTCTTTTTTCTGCCCCTTTGGTTTTGAGACAGAGTTTCTCTGTGTTGCCCTGGCTATTCTGGAACTTCCTCTCTAGACCAGGCTGGCCTTGAACTCAGAGATCAACTGCCTTTGCTAGGAGTAAAGGCAAGTGCCAAGTGTCACCGCCCAGCTTTGTTTTTCTTTCTAAGTCGCAGACTCCTATGTGCCTGAACACTATAAAAGATTGCCTGGGATGGGCTTTTCAGACAGTTCCCCTAGGCAATTCTGTGTATCACAGGAGAAAATGAAACCCAGGCAGGCTTCTACAGAAAAGCAGGCATTTTGGTACCTTGACTGTTTGATCTCTGCATCCAGCTGTCAGAGAGAGTTTTCTGCTGCACATCTTGCTTTGTGGGGCTACCTCTCAGACTGTGGGGTTTATGATCTGAAACTAGAAAAAACATGAGTCAACAGCTGACCCTAAAAGAAACTCATACATATAATATTTAAAAGACTGGATAATCTCTTCTTCAAACTCTGTTAAAACCAAAGCCAAAGTACCTCCAGATCCCTAAAAGGAAAATGTATCTATTTGCCTCATTGTAAATGAAACAATATGGTGAAAACAGCAATCACTAACTTTACACAGATGAGCCCATTAGTTTCATAGAGCTGCCCTATAACTAGAGGTCATAACTAGCTGTTTTACATATGAAGAACTAAGCACAGAGGTAACAGACTTGCCCAGATCACATAAGCTAGTAGGTAGTGTGTTTGGGACTTATATCCAGGCTGCTCTTGCCTACAGTGCGATGCCCTGTTAGTTGGAGACACCAAAAATGTGGCTGCAGTTTCTCAGGAGAGCAGTAACAGCGATTTGAAAAGGCTGATGTGGGAAGAGTGGTGATGCATCTAATTATAAAGTAGCACAGCAGAGTCTCAGGGCCACCTTAGAAGACTCCAAGCCAGGCATGGTGGCGCACGCCTTTAATCCCAATACTCAGGAGGCAGAGGCAGGTGGATCTCTGTGAGTTTGAGGCCAGCCTAGTCTACAGAGCAAGTGCCAGGACAGGCTCCAAAGCTACAGAGAACCCTGTCTTGACAAACAAACAAACAAACAAACAAAAAACAAAAAAAGAGAAGACTCTCCAGACTTGGGAGGCAGATGGAACTCTGAGTTCCAGGCTCGCTTGGTTTACAGAGCAAGTTCCATAACTGTCAGGACTACATAAAAAAAAAAAACCCTGTCTGGAAAAACAAATCAAAACAAAAAAGACTCTCCAACCCCAATATGATCTCCATGTGTCAAACTGCTAATCAGAGAAATTCTGAGAAAGTAAGTATTGTTGTTTAGGTCATTAGTAGGGCAGTCAATTACACAGCAATCAACTATATTAGTTGGACTTACCCTCTGGTTCCACCAGAAATTTGTATCCTGCCTCAGACTGGCAGGGATGGGAGAATGCCATGTTAGCACTAAAAGATTCCTTTGTAGGGAAAGTTGATTTTCCAACGTGTGGAGAGCATGCTTCTGACTTTATAACCACAGAAGAGCCTTTCCTAGGACTGCAAAGAGTTAACTATGAGAGCAAAGTTATGACTCTGTTAAAACCACTTAAAATACCTGGTTAGAATAGTTCTAATATAAATTAAACTTTTCATGGCTAGACATTTTGACTGAGGTTTTATCTATTATGAATGTTAGTCTGTGTTGAAGGTAGTATTTATTTTCAATCACCCAAAAATACTGGCTGTTAGTCTTTACTATTTCCAACTCCACACCCACCCCCCAAAAAAGTTTTTAAATGAACAGCTCAGTTTTTAGTAATCAGTGCGTGGGTCCAAAAACTTTCAAAAGAGTTTATCCTGGGGCTGGAGATAGCTCAGCATTAAAAGCGAATATTGCTCTTGCAGAGGACCTAAGTTCTGTTCCCAGTACCCATGTCTGGCAGCTCCTAACTGCCTATAACTCCAGCTCTATGGAATCCAATGCCCTCTTCTGGCCTCTGTAGGAACTTGCGTTCATAAATGCATACCTGTTCACAAACATACAGATAGATGTACATAATTTTAAAAAAATCTTTAAGACAAAGAGAGTCTATTAAAAAGTATACTGAAAACTGAGTAAGCTCCTCAGCCCTGCCGGCTTCATGCTAGACAGTAGTCTGAGCCAGATATCAGAGTATCCACTACTCTGACGTCTTCCGAATGCTGACAGACCTCATCTCTCCCACCTCACTGAAGCATGCAAGGCAAGGGGAGTTCCATTTCACCCTGCCCAGTGTGAGCACAGGCAGGAGAACGTCTATACCAGAAAGAGCTCAAATGTCAAGGCTGATTCTGACACGTGACAGATTGTTGTGGGGCAGAGGGCAGGACACAGGTCATTAACAAGCTGAGCACTTCTGGCAGCAAAGGAGGGGCTATAAGACAAAGGTGCCAGATAGCAAAAGAGCAAAAATACTTTAAGCAGCCAGGACTGAAATATACTTGCTTCTTTTTAGGGGGTGGGGGAGGGGAGTGTTAATTAAATAAATTACATGAAAATAAAGGTAGGTCTGTTTTCAAAATCTGAAGAAAGTCCTGCCCTAAATGTGGGTAGCACCACAGCACAGACATTTTAGGACTGAATAAAAAGGGAAAGCGAGGAAACCAGCTGGCACCAGCATGCATCTCTCTGCTCAGCCCTGAGTTCCTGTTGCCATGCCTTCCCCAACATGATAGACTGTACTCCCTGAACTATTACCCAAAATAAACTTTTTTTCCCTTAAAAAAATAGATATTATCTTTCTAGCTCTTTGTAGTCTCACAGAATTGTGCTACTACTGCCCCATTCAGGGTAAGCACTCCTGGAGGGAAAATATTTACACTGAATGGCTCAGACCATTCAGCCTCATCCAGCCACCTTTGCATCCATCAGAAAATGCTGTTCAGTCAAAACAATCCAGATAGTTGTCAGGCTTTTTGAAAATCATTGCCAGTCTAAACTATACATGCAGCACCCTCCTTACCTGAGGTGGGAAATGGAGGGGGCAGCAAGTTTGTTTGTCCGTTCATTGCTCTGGAGCTTTGTCCTTAATTCATTCATTTCTGCATCTTTAAACTGGAGTTCAGACTGCAATGATTGAAGCTGAAAAAGCCAACGATATTTTGTAATATCTTTATAAAGATATTTATAGTGGTAGCACTATAATACACATACCCCAAAATATGGTGGTACATGTCTTTAATCCCAACACTTAGGAAGCAGAGGTAGGTATGGTTGGTGAATCTCTGAATTTGAGACCAGTCTGATCTACATACTGAGTTCCAGGGACAGCCAGGGTTACATAGTGAGAGTCTGTCTCAAAGACAAAACAAAACACATTATCTATGTCTACTGCAATATAAATGTCCTCAAATGTTAGCTGTTTTTCCATTGAAAAATACTCTAGAAAGACATGTCAGACTCTATTGTGGAAGCAGTTTATGAGGGCTAAAAACAAGCCCCATTACTTGTTTAGACTGTCTGAATCTCCAATTATAGGTCCTTGACTGGGACTAGGGATTAAGTAAAATGATAACTGTATAGCACTCAGCATGGAGCTTGGGGAGATGCCCTATCTCAAAAAAACATGCCTTATTGGCTGACTCCCATGCCACGAGACATGCTCTGCTCCCCAAACTGCTGTCAAACTCTGAATTCTCTTCTACTTTCACAGGCCTTGGCTGCTCACCTGCTAATTAACTTAGCAGCACAGAGCTTCTTGAAAGTCTGAGCAGGGTGCCTGGAAGTTTTGCCCAAACCTGTGTATATGTGCGTCACGAAACTAGAAGGAGGGTGCTAAGAGGGAGAAAAATCTTAAGTAAGTTGGGAAATCGGGTGTTGGTATGCGTGTGATAGGAAAGCAGAGGGAAGGACTGAGTGGGGGAGGAAAAGGGACCTGGAAGCGCAAATGGAAGGGTGTATGCTAGCATGCACCCTAGGTTAATCCTCTCACTAAACAAACAGGGCCTGGCAGCAACTACACCTGTAATCCCAGCACTCAGGAGGCAGAAGCTTAAGGGCATCCTTGGCCACAAAGTGACTTTAAGGCCAGCCAGGGCTACATTACCATGTCAAGAAAAAGTCACGTTTATGTTTCCCAACAACCTTTGTTCTGTGAAGGTACGAGTATATGTTCATATATAATTTGCTAAAGGAAGTAATGGAGGCAGACACTACTTGTTATTGTCCACCTCACTGCTCCCTTACACAGTAAAAAGGGGGAACAAAGATGTTCTGAAGGAAAGTGGTGGTAGATACTGGACACCAATCATTTTCTTTGCAGAACACAACCTCCCTTTCCTACCTCTGGCTGGGATTTAAATGATAGTTATCCTTTGCTTTTATAGCTAATCTGGAAACAGGTACCTAGCTTAATGCCAGTCATTTGCTTTTTAAAAAATCTTAAGTTAGAGATAGGGAACCTCAGCCTTTCTTCTTCTTCTTCTTTTTTTGAAACAGGGTCTTACTATGTAGTCCAGGCTGTCCTTGGACTTACGGTAACACTGTTGTTCCAGCCTCCCAAGGGCTAGCATTACAAACATGTATTTACCATGCCTGGCTGAGAAAGTCCAAGTCTTAATTGTACTCTGGAGTTTTGAAATGTATGTTCATGAGCCTGGGAGTCAGAACACACTACTGAGAGAGCAGAAGGTCTCTTTAACAGAGACCCAAAACATATCCTGGTAAGGTTTAAGTCATTTGAAGCCATAGAACATCCCTGTCTTCCTAGACTTCGGACATGGTGCTCATATATTTCCTTTTTGATAAGTTAAGTAACTGAATTTCTTATCTAACAAAGAACCCTAATTCAAGCCTATTCCTAAACACTCTAAGCTAGTGATTTATTCTTGCCACAACTATCAACCGCAAGAAAGCAGAGTTTCATCTTAGTCCTTTTCCAAACCAAATGCACATCTTGAAAGAAAGGTGCACACTGTTTATTAAGAGCAGAAAGTATTTAAGACATACAATGGTTGAATATTTCCAGGCAACACTGGCTATTGCTTCTATTTTGTTTTATTTTTTTGGAGACATTGTCTCACTATGTAACCTTAACTGGCCTGGAATTCACTATGTAGACTAAACTGACCTAGAGCTCACAGACATCTTCTGCTTCCTTCGATTAAAGGCGTGCACCACCACAGCCAGCCTGGCTATTGCTTTTTTTTTTTTTTTTTTGGTTTTTCGAGACAGGGTTTCTCTGTGGCTTTGGAGCCTGTCCTGGAACTAGCTCTGTAGACCAGGTTGGCCTCAAACTCACAGAGATCCGCCTGCCTCTGCCTCCTGAGTGCTGGGATTAAAGGCGTGCGCCACCATCGCCCGGCCTGGCTATTGCTTCTAATGGAATTTAGTGAATAGGCAAAACTACTGTCCATATCAAAGCAAATGTTCTGAGTCACCTTTTTAGAGAACTCCTTTTCTTTTTCATTGAGTGCTTGAGTCTTCTCTTGCTCAAGAAGGAAATGTGATCTTCTCTGTTCTTCTAGAATGGATTCTGTCTGATGCAGTGAGTCACGCAAAATTTTAATTTCTCCATTCTTAATTAGGACTTCTTCTTCCATTGATTTCAGCTGTAAATTATGCCCAATCAGTTGATATTCAGCAAGAACTGTTTTAGAATACACTTGCCCCTTATATATAGATTCTTTCAGCTTTGATTTAACACTATGGGTCACACACTTCACAGAACTAAAATTCCATGTTATAGTCCTGATTTTCTTAGAGGTATCTACAGATGGCCATATGAAAGATATCTAATTGCTTACAAAACTAATGAAATAGCAACCTCTATGATGGGGTGTTCCTCATATAAAGGTACAGGTTATGGGGGCTAGAGATGGCTTAGCTACTAAAAGCACTTACTGCTCTTGCAGAGGACATAGGTTCCTTTCTCAGTAACCACATCAGGTGGCTCATAACCAGTTGGAGCTCCAGTTCCAGAGGATCCAACACCCTCTGCATGCATGTGGTGGCATTCTCCCCCCAATATTTTCATTTCAGGACAATGAATCTAGACGCTTGTTTTAAAGTTTACATATATATTATTTATATATATATAATATTTATATTTTTTTTTTTTTTTTAAAAAGAACTGTTTATTATGTGTGAAGTATCCTGCCTGCATGTATACATGAAGGCCAGAAGAGGGCACCAGATCTCATTACAGATGGTTGTGAGCCACCATGTGGTTGCTGGGAATTGAACTCAGGACCTCCGGAAGGGCAGCCAGTGCTCTTAGCCACTGAGCCATCTCTCTAGCCCCCAACTTTTATATATTTTACACAATTCTTTTTAATACCTAAATGAATGAATTAGCTACAAGTTACAACAAGTTAGGGCTGGAAGTATGTTTATAGCATGTGTAAAGTCCTGGGTTCAATTCTCAGCATTAGACTAAATAAGCAAGGAAGGAAACCTCACAAGTTACATACCTTTTCTTTAAGTTCGTTGTATTGTATCTGAAGTACTTCTAATTCAAAATTATCTTTAACTGGAATGTTTTCTCTGTTTTTCCTCATAGGACTATTTGATAACCCATCTAATTGGCGAATCTTATCAGCACCTGTATAAAAACAGTTCCCATTAACTGAGCATGGTGGCACAGAACTATAATCCCAGCTCTTGGGAGGCAGAGGTACGGGGAGCTCAAGTTCAAGGATAGCCTCGTTATAGAGTGAGAACCTGTCTTGGAAAGAAAATCCCATATATACTTCATATATATACTTCATGACTCAGTATATACCCACCCTTGTCATAAAATGCTTGTCTTAAGAGACAAATTGATAAAGACCCGGTAGACAATATTTATCAGTACTTTTCAGTCTCAGAACATGATATAAATTCATGAAGAACCCTTATGAAATAGCACATCTGGATACTCTCCCTTTACACCCTCACCCAGTTTCAAGAGTCTCAGCTAATAGCTAAGACTTCACTGGTTGTAACTCTGATATATCATTAATATTATTTACTGCAGTAGACTAGGCATAGGATCTGCTAGTCTTTAAAGACACAATGGTGAACAAAATGGATATATTCCACGGGGAAGGTGGGGCTCCAGGGATGGATTAAGGTAAAGGAAAGAGGAGGGGTTGCCTGTGCCACCGGATGGAGAGTAGTGCTAACCACTGCCCTAATCAAACATCTGGTCAGCAATGAGCGTTTTCTAGTGCCTGGTTTTCCTGGCAGTATTGCTGGAGAGATGGGGGTCCGTGTTTCCAGGAATAATCCTATGTTTCAGATGCCTTAAGTGTTAAGTTCAGGTGCAAACGGCCCATTGAATCCTGACAGTCCACAGATTTTAAGAAGTTTTGGTATTTCTTGTTCATTGCCTATGGCCGTTGCCACTCTGAACCTTTGTTTGGGTAACTAGCATAGATTACTGGTTGAATAAGAATCATCTCTTGCAGCCGGGCGGTGGTGACACACGCCTTTAATCCCAGCACTTGGGAGGCAGAGGCAGGCAGATCTCTGTGAGTTCGAGACCAACCTGGTCTACAAGAGCTAGTTCCAGGACAGGCTCCAAAGCCACAGAGAAACCCTGTCTCGAAAAAAAAAAAAAAAAAGAATCATCTCTTGCCTCTGCCCGAGGCTTCCCATGCTCACGCCGTCCAAGGGTTACAGTGGGCTGCGTAAAATCTAAATCCTCTCACATGGGTTGTGACAGTCCTGAGGTAGTCGTAGTCATGTTTCAAGGAAAATAAATAACAGTCTAGCTGTCTGTATTTCAAGTCTGGGTGGATGAGGCCTTTTGACAGCTGTTTTAACCACCAAATCGAAGGACTTTTTGAAACAGAACCGCCCTTAGATCGGGGTGCTCCTTCGTCTTAAAAAGAGAAAGGGAAGCGGTGCAAGACTCCAGTGCCAAAGTCACCGCTTTGACGAGTTATGCACCACCCCCGGGGGAAAGGCGCCCCCATAAGCACTCACTGGACAGGTTCCGAGGCGCGACCGGACACTGGCTCAGGGCCTGTGACGCGAGGATGTCGAGTTCCTCTAGGTCGTCGGCGGTGAATTCCGCGTGCGCGCCGAATGGGTCTTCGGGGTCCGGGACCGTAGTATCAGTGACGCTCCGGGCCCGCTTGCTCGGAGGGTTCTCGAAGGCCCGCGATAGGCCAGGGAGAGGCGCCGGGCCGCCGCTCTGCTTCCTGTGGCTGTTCGGTGCGGGGGTCCCAGCCATGAATTCCTTCAACCCGCAGCGTCCGTGGACGCCAAGCACAGCCTTGTCCGCGGCAAGCCCAACCTGGCCCAACCGCCCGCGCGCCGCCGCTCCCTTCAGCCTCCGGCCAATCAGCAGTCAGCTGGCGGGCGCAGAGAGATGACGTATGCAGAGCGCGCCGTTACACCTGACAGGTTCCTGCCTGTCTCGGCTCAGGACCGCTAAATCGCTGCTTGTGCCGGGGCGCTGTGCAGCTCTACCGGGATTACTCGTGTGGCGGGATCGCGGAGCGTCTGACCAACGGCACCTGTGACTGTCCCCCTGGCTTGTGTAGAACACTGAGCCTCCGAGGAGCAGCTCGCCTTGAATCGAGACGGGCAGCATTCAGGGGTCAGCTCGATTTCACCTCACGCATCGCGGTTGACTCACCTGGCCTGTGTCCCGAGACTGGAGGAGAAGGAACGCAGCGGTTCTTCTGAACGCGGGGATCTTCCAGAATAGCGAATGTTTCGAGTATGTGTGAATTTGAGAAAAGTCTGGGAAGGGTGAGCTCGAGAACGGTGTGCCTGTTCAGAACTTCTCGGACTGTTAGCTTTCGTTTATTTCTCGGAGAGTCTTTATGTTCTGAACGCTGGTTGTATAGAGATGAATGAAGGCCAAGAAGTCAGGGAAAGCTTCCTGTGAGTGGTCCTTGAATTGCCCAACAGGTTGGCAAGAAAAATTGGCAAGAAAAATGGGTAAGAGGCTGATGCGCAATGTTACTGAGAAATATTCAACTTCGACAAGGATACCAGGTGGAAGTTACTGTGGCAGAGAGAGGAGGTAAAACTTCACAGGGGAGCAAAGAGTTGGGTTTTGCTTGGGTGTGAGCAGAAGTGGTGGGCGGAACAGTTAGCGGGAATAGCGGATTGGAGAGCAATAGGATCGAGACTTTTCTACTCCGCTTGCTCGGTGCCAGACTTAGCTCGTGAGCCTATCAATCTGCTAAAATATCGGGTCAGAGAGTGCTCAGGTCTAGAATGCCTTAGGTCTTCTGTTTTTTTTTTAGATTTGTTATTTTTTATGTATATGAGTGTTTTGCCTGCATGTATGTCTGTGCACCACACGCATGCCTGGTGCCTACAAAGGTCGGGAGGCATTGGCTCACTTAGAACTACCTTAGTTTTTTTTTTTTTTATTCAAATGCTAATAGTTTCCCTTAGCTTTCCAATATAATTGACATGTAACCAAAGCTGGCCTGAAACTCCAAATGTCCTTCCTTCTGACTGCTGGGAGTATAGACCCGAACCACCCTGTCAAGCTCTTTTTGTTTCTTGAGATGGCCTCGCACTTCCAATCCTCCTGTGTCAGTCGCGAAGTGCTAGAATTGTAGGTGTGAGTTACCATGCCTGACTGAATACCCAAGTCTTACTAACTAAGGTCTGTGGTTCAGAAAAGAGACTGGACTGTTGTCAGGTAGGATCAGATTCCAGAAAATAAAAGAGAAGTAACTCCCATTGGGGGGCAGGAAGCCACGACTGCTGACTTTTTGTTTTTGTCGTTCGTTGTTATTGTTGTTGTTGTTTCCAGCAGCTTGGGGCTGGGAGCCAGCTGGCAAGACCCCATGGTCCTAAAGCTCAAAGAAGGTGCTGTTTTTTATGTGTATGAGTGTTTCGCTTACATGTATGTCAGAGGCCAGACTAGGGCATCAGCTCGCCTGGAACTAGAATTATAGTGAGTCACCATGTGGGTGCTGGGAATTGAACCCTGGCCCTGCTGAGCCATCTCTCCAGCCCCCAAGTTGGTTTCTGATTCTCTTGCATCAGCTGGCCGAGTGCTGGGATTACAGGTGTGTGAGCTGGGCATGCCTGTAATTCCTACTGCTCAGGAGGCTTGGGCTGGGGAAACCACAAATTCATGGACTGCCTGAGCTACTTAATAAGATCCTGTCTCAAAAAAAAAAAAAAAAAGATATCCTCAGGGAAGGTTTATTACTATTCCCAGTTGTATGAATGGCCTAGAGGGAAGTAAGTCTTGTGCCTCTCTGCCTCTCAATTAGGTTTTTCAGGAAATATATATGGGGTTTGGACAGTGTTAAAGTTATTTGCTTAGAATATTCAAGGCTCTGGATTTGATTTCCGGCATCCTGTCTCCCCTAAAATAGGATCACATTTCTGGGCATGATGGCACCAACCTGTAATCCCAGCTGAGGCAGAAAGATTTTAGTTAAGGCCCTCCTAGTCTACACGGACCGAGTTCCAGGCCAGTCTGTGATTAGACCCTATCTCAACTCCCTCCTTCCCAAACAAGATTGGTTTCTAGTCCGGACTTTTTACTTAGTGGTTGGTGGCAGATAACATCTGGTAAGAACTACCGCTTTACAGAGTATAATCAGGGAAGAGTCACTAATTTTTTCCCAGAACTGGAGTCTGAAAACTAGGGCTCTTCCCATGAGCTACATCCTTAGCCCCATTTTTTATATTTTTGTGACTGTTACTCAGTCATACCTTCAAGTTGTGATCCCTGCCTCAGTTTCCCAAGGAGTTAGGATTTTCTAAAGGTAAGACTGAAGGAATCGAGTTGATGACACAGTGAAGGGCTTGGGCTTCCTCACTGCTTTGCAAGGATCTTTCTGTGTGTGCTTGCTATCGTGTATTCTTTAGCCACTAACGAAAACAAACAGAAAACAGAGCTGGGCATTAGTGTCTCATGCCTTTAATCCCAGTACTTGGGAGGCAGGCCTGGTCTCCATAGGCCAGCCAGGGCTGCATGGGGTGCAGCCTAGCAAGCAAACAATAAACACAGCGAGAGCCTTGCAGTGGTGGCGCACGCCTTTAATCCCAGCACTGGGAGGCAGAGATAGGTGAATCTCTGAGTTCGAGGCCAGCCTGGTCTACAGAGCAAGTTTCAAAACAGGCTCCAAAGCTACACAGAGAAACCCTGTCTCGGAAAACAAAACCAAAAACAAGCAAATTTAAAACAAAACAAAAAAAAGTGAGGTTTGTCTTTACCCCAGACTACTGTGACTGCAAATGGACTAGAAGGTGAATAGTAGAAATCAGAAGGCAAGGAATAGTGTCCAGACCACTTAGAGCAACAGTGGCAGTTTGTCACCCCTTTGAGGGTCACATATCATATATTTACATTGCGATTCATAACAGTAGCAAAATTAGTTACTAAGTAGCAATGAAAGAAATTTTGATTGGGGGTTACCACAAGAACTGTATTAAGGGATTATAGTCTTAGAAAAGTTGAGAAGAACTGCCTTAGAGCCTGATTTTAAGAACTTTTCTTTTTTTAAGTACTGAAGAATGTTAAGCCAAAGAAAAACAATTATGAGTTGAAGTTTAACAATATCAGCCTTTTCCTCCTTTGCATGTTGAAGCCCAGGCTTGGGAGTCTTATTCATTGAGGCAGGGTGTCTCAACTGAACTCAGAGCTTACCTATATGGCTAGCCAGCTGTCCAGCTTGCTCCAGGGATCCCTTGTCTCTGCCTGAATTGCAGTTTGCTTTAAACACATGAACATATGGCAACTTCAATATCATGAAAGACAGGTGGTTTTCTTTATAAAGTATACTTCTTTTACTAGTCTCTGAAAAAGCATACCGTCAGATAAAGAACCACACAAGAATGATAGCCTTTGAATGAGCTGGTTTAATTCAAAGTGATACAGAATTCAGAGTACAACAAGACAAAACAGCAGGCTCTGGCAGGATTCCAGACTGGGTTCACTTTCAATTCACAGCTGAGGTAGGGACTGCTGAACACTAAAGACAATAAGCCATTGTATTATTTATTTTATTATTATTATTTTTTTTTTTACAAAAGTTTATTACAATGTACAACAGGCTCCAGGATAACACTTCATTTTAACTATAGGTGGCAATGATGTTATAGTAGGGGATCCAGATGTTTAACAGGCTCCAGGATAACATTTCATTCTAGCTGTAGATGGCAAAGATGTTATGGCAGGGAATCCAGATGTTTAAATAGGAATGGAAGAGGGTCACCATCATCTCAGATATGAGGAACAGCTTACTTTTTGCCAGATTTCTTAATTCCACCTGTGGCTGCAAAAGGAAAAGTCGATCAGGGAAAAATATACTTGTGGCTAAAAAGCCTCAAGGGTCCTGGTAATACCTGGCTCGTGCTGGGTATTTGCTATGACACAAACACGCACAATTCCTTCATCAACACCATCTCTCCTACAAAGACAGAGCATAGCTGAGGCAGGGGCCATGACTCAAGAGCTGCGGACTACTCTCTATACTACTGTGTCCTTCAGATTGGCTTATTAATGCTCCTCACAGCAACCCACGTTACAGATAAGTAGTTCTGGATGTTTGGTGACTTCAAGGTTATAAACTAGTATGTGAGAAGCCTCAATTCTCATCTGGTGGTTTGTCTTTTCTGTTTTTGTTTACAGTAAAGTCTTAAAACAGTAAGGGTGGGCTTCGAATTCACTCTCCTGTTTTTGTGGGCTCCCCTACTGGTTTTTTGTTTCGATTTTCTTTTCCATCTTAAAACAGAGAAAGAACACAGAAGTTGGTGTGTAGGGAGGTGGAGAAGACCTGGAAAGAGCTGGGGGAGGAGAAAACATGATCAAAATATGATGTAGGTTCCCCCCTGTATACCATTGGCTAATAAAGAAGCTTCCTTGGATCTATCACAGGGTAGAAGAGAACAAGGCAGGAATTCCAAGCAGAGATAGAGGAGAAAGTAGGCAGAGTCAGAAAGATTCCATGTAGCCACCACAGGAGACAGATGTGCTGGAACCTTGCCGGTAAACCATGAGCCTCGTGGTAAAATATAAAATAATAGAAATGGGTTAATTTTAGATGTAAGAGCTAGCTAGAAATACACTTAAGCTATTGGCCAAACAGTATTGCAAATAATATAGTTTCTATGTGATTATTTCGGGTCTGGGAGGCCGGGAACAAATGAGCAGTTGCCACCAACAAACGTATACTGTATAGAAAAAAGGTTTTTTTTTTTTTTTTAAATATTTATTTTAGTTAGTTATTATGTATACAATATTCTGTCTGTCTATGCCTGCAGGCCAGAAGGGGGCACCAGACCCCACTACAGATGGTTGTGAGCCACCATGTGGTTGCTGGGAATTGAACTCAGGACCTTTGGTAGAGCAGGTGATGCTCTTAACCGCTGAGCCATCTCTCCAGCCCCTAGAAAAAAGGTTTTAATCAGGTATGGTGGTACATGTGATTAGCCCCAGCACTTGGGAGGCAGGGGCGAGTCTGAGGCCAGCCTGGTCTACATACTGAGTTCCAGCACAGTCAGGACTACAGATAGCAGTGATTTCCAGCCTTCCTAAACCTGCAACCTTTTAATACAATTCTTCATGTTGTGATGACCCCCAGCCACAGAATGGTTTTTGTTGCTACTTTATTTTTTTGTTTTTTTTTTTTGTGTGTTTTTTTGTTGCTACTTTATAACTGTAATCTTGCTACTGTTATGAATCATAATCCAAATATCAATGTTTTCAAATGGTCTTAGGCAACCCATGTGAAAGTGGTTTGACCCCAAGGGATTGTGACCCACATGTTGAGAAACCCCATCTCAAAAAATTCATCTTTCTGCCTCAATCTCTCTCAGCTTCCCCAGGTGTTAGGATTAGTGGTATACGCCACCATGCCAGGGCTCTACCTAAGAAGCCTGACTTCTAATTGCATACTTTTTCCCTTTCACATTTTATGTGCCTGCATTTGTGGGCCAGAAGCTCACCCTAGGTTGTATTCCCCATCAACCTAGTGGTTTATCTCACTGACCCAGAGCTTGCCAAGTCACCGCCATCAGGAAAATCTGTATATTCTTAACTGCCACACTACAACACACTATATCCCATTTTATATTCCTGGACTGGCTTTTATGCCTTCAATTTAAAAATACCACTCCAAAGCCAGGCAGTGGTGACACACACCTTTAATCCCAGCACTCAGGGAGGTGGAAGCAGGCAGATCTCTGTGAGCTTGAGGCCAACTTGGGTGTTTAGGGCTTGGGGGACTTTTGCATATACACATTTCAGGGATGGGACCCAATTATGAACACAACGCTCATTTATGCTTCACACACAGCCAATGCATATAGTTTGAAGTTAATGTAATATAACACTCCCACCCCCACATGCAATGCATATAGTGTGAAGTTAATGTAATAACACTTCCATTTCCTCAGCATTCTGACTGCAGCTCATCACCCAAGGTCAGGAGTAGATTTTCTACTTCTAACGAGGTTTCAGATCTGGAGCATTTTGGATTTACAGATTATAAATGCTCAATCTGTATAGGACTTCAAGGTTTGAACCTTTTTAACATAAACACAGATTAAAGGAAGGCACCAAGTACCTGACTTCATTGCCGTGTGGATAACAAGAGATCAAGCCTACTGTAATAGGTCTTGGGGTGACAGTTTCCAGTATATGCCACACTGATACCAGGCAGAATCAGCACTAGTTAGAAAATGCAAAATAGTGCTTTTACAATGTACACAAAGCCAGGCTGGTGGCACAAACTCCAACCTCAGCTATCTAGGAGATGAAGGCAAGAGAATCATAAATTCAAGGCCAGCCTGAGAAAATTAGCAAAAACATGTCTCAAAATAATAATGACGGTGTAGGTCTTGTCTAGCATGCATGAGGTACTGCAATAAAAAAGAATAAGAAGAGGCAAAGCAATTAAAAAACAAAATAACAAAAAATGGGATTAGAGTGATAGCTCAGCAGTTAAGAGTGCTGGCTGCTCTCCCAGGGGACCTGGTTCTGTAACTATAGTCTCAGGAAATCTGATACCCTTGTCTGGTCTCTCAGGGCACTGCACACACATGGTACAGGGTCATGCACGAAAAACACTCATACACAGAAAACACAAAAATAAATAGGTTTTTTAAATGCAGAATTAGGACTGCTGGGCCTGTAATTCACTCCTAAGAGGCAGAACCATGGGGAAGATTGGGTTAACAAGGTAGAGTGAGAAACGTGGGGCATAGGACACTGTTCCCCGGCATAGTCACAAATAAACACAAAATAGCACGCAGAGAAAAATACATATTAAGATCCCTGGACTTTTATCTTTTAGCCTAGACACACCCAAAGGTGACTCAGAACTCAACATTACAGATATGTAAACAGCAAGTAAAAATTCTACGTTATAATGTAACAAACTATAAAGAAGCCAGAAACTGGACAATATTCAAAAGCTTAGCTATATGCACTGTTCGGAGTACATTTTCGTGTTTCCATTTCTGTAGCTTCCCTATGGACTGGAAGCCCAAGGTGTCCACGAGGCAAGAGATTTTATTTTCTGGCCACATTTCCACTCCCATCCCTCGGTACTGTTGCAAAGCCAAGACAGGCCGGGGGTTTGGCCAGCGTGGACACAAGGGTCCCGCAATTTCACCAAGGACCCCAGGAACAGAAGACCTGTTTGGCCCTCGTACCTACACTGGCTCCGAGCATTTGTCTCTCAGAGCTGCACTCCACTCTGAGGTCAACATGTCTTTAAACTATACAGGTTGATTTTATTCACCAGCTTTTTTTTTTTTACTATGTACTATCCCTCTTAACTTGTCATTCCTCTCTCACAAATATTTAAAACATTAAAATTAATAAAAAAGATCATACAAGATTCACATAATCTGTGTATTTCTCATTCTTCCATGGCTTATTCTATCATACATTTTTTTTTCTTTTCAATAACTTCAGCTTTTTTTCCATTCAAAAATTTACATTTCCTCCCCTCCTCCCATTCCACTCCTGCTACCCCACTCCCCCTCTTCCCTCCCCCTCCTTTCTTGAGAGAGTGCAGGGAAACCTGCACTGTGGGAAGTCCAAGGCCCTCCCCCCTACATTCAGGCCTAGGAAGCTGTACATCCAAATAGACTAGGATCACAAAAAGCCAGTACATACAGTAAAAACAAGTCCCAGTGCCTTTATTAATGGCTTCTCAGTCAGCCCCTATTGTGAGCCACAATCAGAGAGTCTGGTTTGATCACATGCTCATTCAGTCTGGGTCCAGCTGTATTTGGTGTCCACCCTCACTTACCCAGGGGTCCCTTCCCCGCGGCCTTGGCTTTTAGCTCCTCGAGTTTCTTCTGCTCCTCTTTTTGTTTCTGCTTGAAAGCCTTATCTTCCTGCGGAGAGGCAGAGCAGGTTCACTCCAGGCCAGTCGCCCACTCCCTCAGAGCGCCCGCCCGCGCCTCCGCTCCCGTCCTCACCTCGTCCATTTCCTTGGCCTGCTTCTTGGGCTGTTTCAGGGGCTTCTTTTTGCCACCTGTGGGCGACAGGAGCATGCTCGGCCCATCCCCGCCATCCACCGCCCTATTCGTTCTTCCCCGTCCATCCGTCCCCCAGACCCCAAACAGCCTTACCTTCCCGGCCCGACATGGCGCCTCCAGACACCCCCTTCTCCAGACCCTGATCCTAAGCCGGAAACGGAGCTTACTACAGGCGCCTACGCCGCGCGGCGGGCTCGCTGATTGGCTTTCAAGCAGGAAGTTAGCCTCACGTCTTTTAAAGGACGCGCTCTCCAGGGGTGGGTGCTACCCGTTCAGAGGTCATTTGAGTGGCAGCCGCGGGCCTTACCGCTGGAACCTAATAGGCTTAGGCTCTTAAGGTACGAGGCGGAAGGCTCTTTCTTCCGGGGAGACGATCCGAAACCTCGCGGGGGAGGGGACTGGGGGGCGTTTGGCTATAAGGCCTGTCATCATGCACAGAAAGAACGTGGTGCAGGTAGAGGGGCAGGCGCGTGCGAAGCTCCTTTCCGGAACCCAGGAAAGCACAGCTGGCTGGAACGATAGAGAATGGGAGATGGCCGTGGCCAATATCACCTGGTCCTCAGCTTCGGAAGCCGCGGGAAGAAGTTTGGACTTTATGAAATAATGAGTGTAACCGTTTGCAAATTCTTCTTCTAGTTCATTCTTGTTGACTGTGTACTATATAGACAGTACTCTGGACTGACATTGTTCTTGTTGACTGTACTATATAGACAGTACTCTGGACTGACATTGTTCTTGTTGACTGTACTATATAGACAGTACTCTGGACTGGGGGATTCAGCAAAGCTGACATTGTAGCAAGGCAAATAAGTAAACTATGTATCACATATTATGTGACCTGTCTAGGGAGAAAAAAGACGCAAAGAAAGTGGTTATGGAATGTTCCCTGGGGGGGGGGGTAGGATGTCGGTTTTTGATAGGGTGACTTCATGGACTATTTGAGCAGGACTTGACAAAGGCCACGGAGCCACCTCTAAGTAGGGAACAGCTAGCCAATACCAAGACCCTGAGGTGAGGGATTGCTTCCCGTGGTCCAGTCCTTCATGACTGAAGGGAGGGAGAAAAGAGACCCTAGTGGGAGGTGCAGTCAGAGAGGAATGAGTCGGATCCCCTGTAAGCTGTGAAGACTTTGACTTTTGCCTTGAAAGAAACATGGGACTGTTGAAGGATTTACGCAGACAGAGACCTGAGATTGCCAGCGTCTGAAAAGACCACTGGCTTTTTGTTGATAGCCGACCTCAGAGACTGGAGTAGAGAGGCAGAAGCCCAGCAGAGATAGTCCAGCCGCAGAGTGTTGGTCATTGAAACCACTTTGTAGTCCTGGCAGAGCTAGAAGGGATGGGCACCTGGTTTTAGAAAGTCAGTGGAATTTTGCTAATGGAGTGGATTGAGATCAGAGAGAAAACGGAGGGTCTAGGGTTATGTGAGGTTGTCAGTCTAGCATTTGTACGAGAATTACCGTAAACCATGGTGGAGAAGAGCATGGCAAAAGCAGTTTGGTAGATAAAGTTAGATTAGATTTTCAAGCAGTGATATGGGCTGGACATTTAGGTAATATAGAATCTGGTGGAAAAGTCTTAACTGAAGAAGTCACAGATGTGGGGTGTGTGTGTATGAGTGTCTAACACATGTTAGACAACTATACTCCCAGCTTTTGGAAAAAATATTATTTTTAATTATGAGTGTGTGTGTGTGTGTAAAAGAGAGTGAGTGAGCAAGAGAGCGCTCAGAAGCTAGAGCCATCAGGTACCTCAGACTTGGAGTTACAGGCAGTTGCGAGCTGCCCAGTGTGAGTGCTAGGAACCAAACTCTAGCTTATATTCCCTCTTAACCATCTCTCCAGCCCAGCCAGTTCTTCTCCTTCTCCTTCTTCTTCTTCTTTTTCGAGACAGTCAGTTATTATTCTTTAATACAGCTTTACTGATCTAAAACTCACTATATAACTGTATAACTCAGCTACTTAATTTGTACAATTCAGTGATTTTTTAATGCATGAAAGATTATGCAAATATTACTACAACCAATCATAGAAGCATTTCCTCTTGCTCTCTCTGAGGTTTGAAACAGAGACTCTCTGGGCAGTGGTGGCACACAACTTTAATCCCAGTACTTAGGAGGCAGAGGCAGGAGGATCTTTGTGAGTTCTAGGACAGCCAGGGCTACACAGAAAAATCCTGTTTCAACAAACCGGAGGGGGGGGAGAAGAAGAAAGAAAAGAAACAGATTCACTGTGTAGACTGGACTAGCCTAGGACTTGGAAGTCCACCTGCCTGCTAGCCTCCCGAGAGTTGAGATGGCGGGTATGAGCATCATTTTGAGTATGAGGAATGCTTTTGCGTTCTTCTCCAACATTGGGGATGTAGCCCAGCACTTCCCCCATGCCAGGGAAATACTGTACCCCCTACCTACATCCCTAGCCTTGTAGCATTTTGTTTTGGTTCATTAATAGATTTTTAATTTTTATGGGTATGTGTGCGTGTGCCTGCTTGTCCATCCATGTACCACATGCATGCAGTGCCTATGGAAGCCAGAAAAGGGAGTCGGAGCCCCTAGAGCTGGAATTACAGGTGATTGTGAGCCATGTGATACAGGTCTTGGGAACTAAGCCCTGGACCTCTAAAAGAGTAGCAATTATCCTTAACCCCTGAGGCTTCTCTCCAACTCCAAAACCAGTTTTTTGAGTTTGTTTTTGAGACCGGGGCTTACCGTGTAGTCTGGATTAGTCTAGAGCACACAAAGATCTGCCTGTCTGCCTTAGTGTGCTTGGGTTAAAGACGTGTGTCATACCCCATTATAATGTAAATTATTTAAAAATATGCTCTATTATATATATGTGTGATGTAATATATATATATGTGATTATTGTTGTTGGTTGTTTTTTGTTTTTCAAGACAGGGTTTCCCTGTGTAGTCCTTGCTGTTCTGGAACTCCCTCTGTAGATCAGGCTGGTCTCAAACTCATAGAGATCTGGCTGCCTCTACCTCCCGAGTGCTGGGGTTAAAGTTATATGCCCAGCTTTTTATTTATTTATTTTCGAGACAGCATCTATGTATCCTTGGCTGACCTGGAACTTACTATGTAGACCAGGCTGGCCTTGAACTCATAGAGATCTGCCTGCCTCTGCTTCTTGGGTGCTAGGATTAAAGGCTTGTACCACTACCCCTAGCCCTTATATTTTATTTTAATCACATGTACATATGTGTGTCTGTCTGGAGTAATGTGCATATAAATGCATGTGTCCATGGAGGCTAGAAGAGGGCGATGACTCCCTATAGTTGGAGTCACAGGTGGTGGCAAGCACCCATCTGCATACTGGGAACCAAATTTATTTCCTCTGCAAGACCAGACCGCTCTCTTCACCACTGAGCCATCTCAGCCCTCTCTAGCATTTTTAAATCCAGAAAACTGTATGCAAGAGGAACCTGAGCACTGTGTCTGGCCATAGGGAGATGAGGACAAGTGAAGCCAATTGAAGTGGTTTTTGAATGAAGAGGTAGCTCTCACAAGGCACAGGCCGATGAAGGGCAAATGCCATGAGGATCCAGGACTGGCCATCATATTTAGTGGAGGAGGTGATTTACAAGAAACAGGTGACATTTGAGCAGATACATATCTGGACAAGGGTGAGCGCAAAGGCCACTGCAGAGAGGGTTTAAATGGGAGGAGAACAGTGGAGATGAGGGTCGGGCAATCTGTCAAAGCATCTGATGGCACACAGGGACAAAGAAATGGGGCAGTTGCTAGATGAGGTGTCTCAATGACTGAGCAGTGTCGGAGGCTGCGTGTTGCTCTTCCTAAGAGGCGGGAGAAAGTGAGGACTAGAGATCTAGATCACTGCTTGCTTAGCATGTGCAAAATTCTGACTTCTATCCCTTTCTTTCTTTCTTTCTTTCTTTCTTTCTTTCTTTCTTTCTTTCTTTCTTTCTTTCTCTTGTTATTTGAGACAGGGTTTCTTTGTGTAACAACCCTGATTGTCCTGGAACTCACTGTGTAGACCAGGCTGGCCTCGAACTCACAGAGATCTGCCTGCCTCTGCCTCCCAAGTGTTGGGATTAAAGGCACGAGCCATCACTGCCCGCCTGGCAAGATTCTGGGTTTAACTCCCAGCACTGCAGTAAGGGGCTGTGGCTGGGCAGACACTGACAACTGAGAAAGGCTGCTAGAATCTGTAGACGTGCCCCCTCCCATTTCACGTTTCTTGGTGAGAAACAAGCAAACTATCAGCTGCAAGTGAGGGTAAGAGACAGATGACAGGCCGGGGGGGGGGGGGGGGGTGCACGCCTTTAATCCCAGCACTCAGGAGGCAGAGACAGGCAGGTCTCTGTGAGTTTGACGCCAGCCTGGTGTTTAGAGCAAGTTCCAGGACAGGCTCCAAAGCTACAGAAAAACCCTATCTCGAAGAAAAAAAAAAAAACCAAAGCAAAACAAAAAAGCCACATGACAAAAGCATGAAGAAGACAGGGTAGGAAGCAAGCAGCCATCTGGTGGTAGTGGGAGACCTGATCTGAAAGGGCAAGAATCTGAACTCGCTCCTTAGGCTCCTGCTTAGTATGACATCTGTCCGTCTGTCCAGCCTCGCCCCCTCAACCCATCTCTGCCTTACCTGCTAGCTGCATTGGCCACCTTCCGTATTGTAGACAACTCCAAGAGCTTCCCAGCTTTTCCTCTGCCAGCATAATTTTTACCTTGTTGGTTGAGGGTCCTATAAGACACCTGTGGATGGATGTTGTTGAAATTGAGAGACAAGCAGTGTGTGATGGGGTGGCAAGGAGAGGCTGGAAGGAGGGCGTAGAGAGGGCAACAAGCTGGGAGTATTGACATTTTTCTCTTTGAAGTTTCTGCTCTTACCAAGTGTGTGTTTGTGCTAGGAAATACATATCTGATACAGACACCAGGAAAGGCGACTGGTAAGGAGGTCGTCAAGGAAGACCTTATTGCAAGGGGACAATTGAGGAGACAGATGAGCCACATAGTCTCGTGGAGGAAGCAGAATGTCGCTGGGGGAGATGGCAGGGCACAGAGTCATGCAGGTCATGCTTAGCATGTCAAAGTGGTTGGAGCAGAATATGGCTATGGAAAGAAGAAAGAGAGGGGAGGTTGGGAGGGCCTGAGCTTACTGACTTCTGCCAGATCTCTTTATGCCAAGTGACTTGGAAACTGGAGAGTCTGCTCCTCCTCATGTCTTAGCAGCCCCTTGAGCTGCTGTGTCAGAAACAAGGTTTCAGGCTCCTCTCTGCCAGGTATAAGTGACGTTCCAGGGCACTGAGAGCAGACAGCCAGCAGAGGACAAGCCAGGAGCTGGACTGAAAGGCTGGGGGAAGTTGAAAGGAAGCAGTGACCTCAGGAAGAGATGGGAACTTTGAAGGCTGTAGGGCAATCAGAGATGTCTGAGTGCCTCTTAATTTCGGGGACCTCTGAACCATAGAATGGGGTCAAGAGAGCTGGGAAGCGGCTGTGGGTGTAGTGATACAGGGCTTGTCCAGCAAGTGCCAGGCTCTGCTGGGTTTGGTCCCCAACACTGAGAGGGCTGTGGAGGGCGATAGAGGGGGAGGTGTGAAGCTGCAGTAAATGCAATGGCCAACTCATTCCTACCAAGTGTTGCTGGGAAGGACAGTGGGGATTGTGCTTGGCTGTAATGAAAAGTATATTTACAGAACTATTCTGGGGCTGTAACCTCTGTTCTGAGGGCCCTGGTGTTGGGGCTTAGAATGATCACCCAACCACCAAGGCATGAATATTGTAGGCTGCCTTGAGCATGGTCCTCCAGAGTTCAGGTAGAGCTCCAGCTTGGAACCAGTGTCACAGAGATGCCCTCTTCTGGGGCTCTCAGCAGGAGCCTACTTTGACCAGAGGGTGTGTCCCTGTCTATCCAGCTTTGTTTTCAAAAGAACCAAGAGTCTCTCTGATGCTGCGAGCAGGTCTGTACATGAGGAAGCCCCCCCCCATACCTGTGTTTGTTTACATATATCCTTTCCGTGTGATCAAGTTAGTATGTATATAGAGAAGAAATTATCAAAATTATCCTGCCATCTCGTAGTTACCACCTGTGAGAAGTTTTATGTCTTGAAACTAAGGAAAAATCCCAGCCACAGTTTGAGGAAGCCTTTCTGTGTTCTCCACTTGACCCTTCCTCCTCTTCTGTGGCCGACTCCCTTTGCTTTCTCTGGTTGGCCACCAGATGTCGCTCTGGTCAGCGTTTTAGAGCTTAATGTGGTTTGGCCAGAAGACACAGCCAGGTTTTTCTGAGATTCTGGGTAACCTAGCCCTCCCTTTGGGGTTCTGAGTCCATTCTGTTCTTGGGCTGGGGCAGTGCCTGACTCTGGGTACTCCCTGTCCTGTTCAGGTCAGAGGAAGTAGATGTTGTTAGGGCCCAAACCTGAAAGTGAGCAGAGAAGCCTGCCATGCTGAGCAGTGGCTGGGGCTGGGGAGGAAGCTGGGAAATATGAGACAGGGACTTGGGAGCCTGAAAAGTCAGTGGGAGGGCAGAGTGATGGTGTGACCTGAACCTAAGAAAAGCAGGGGAAAACAGGTTTTCCCTCCCTGGAATTGTCCTTTCAGAGGAGAGCTAGTGGCTAGCTCAGTAATTCTGGAAGTTAGATGTGAAGGACTTGGATAAAAAACGACTCTGGAGGTTAACTTTCCCCCTCGTTCTTAGTTCCACCACTCCCAAGGGAGCCTTTTTTGTGTTTTTGCAGGACTGGGGATTGAACCTAGGGTTGCAGGCATGCTAGGCAAGTGCTCTGTCACTGAGCTATATGCCTAGTCCTTTAAACGCATCTTTCGCTTTCCTTTTTGTTATTATTTTGTTTACCGTTGCTGTTTAAGACAGGGTCTCACTGTGTAGCCCTGGCTAGCCTGCAACTTGCTATATAGACTAGGCTGTCCTTGAACTTCAGGCCTTCTGCATCAGCTTCAAAGAGCTAGGATTACAAACCTGTACCATCAGACCAGTCCACAGGGCCTTTGTTAATCTTTTTGTCAGCATGGGCAACCCAGGTTTGAGGATTTTCTCTGGCATTAGCAGAAAAAGCAAGCACCAAGATTCTCACCTAGGTCCTGTCAGAGACCTAGGAGATGGTATGTATGTAGTTGGGGGGATGAGAGGTGTTAAGTATTTTCTGACCAACAAACCTCTCCCCTGATGCAATAATCCCAATTAGACCAAATTAGAAAATGCTCAGGTTTAAGAATGCCAGCATGCCGGGCGGTGGTGGCGCACGCCTTTAATCCCAGCACTCAGGAGGCAGAGGCAGACAGATCTCTGTGAATTCGAGGTCAGCCTGGTCTACAAGAACTAGTTCCAGGACAGGCTCCAAAGCTACAGAGAAACCCTGTCTCGAAAAACCGAAAAAAAAAAAAAAAAAAAAGAATGCCAGCACTCCCAGGTGGCACCCTAGAAAAACACAGAGGGGGTGAAAGGAGAACTGGGATGACCACTGGAGAGGGAAAAGGGGAGACCATGTGTTCATTCTCTGGAGGGCAGCTTAAATAGCCTGTGGGAGTGATCTTGACTGAGGGGGGGCTCACCATTTGGTGGTCTTTCTTGGAGGTGGAGTCTGGACTGCAGCCACTCCCAGGGGAGGGGGCTTATGCCAGGAGCTGGGGTGAAGCCCCCAGCCAAACATTCCAGGATTTTTTGGATAAAGATGTTAGGGGTTGAGGTGATGCTTTTAACTAAACATTTTTTAGACTCCTTGTATATATGTATGCCAGGGGGCTGGGGTGAAGCCCCCAACCAAACAGCAGGGATGGTGGTTTTTAAGGCTTCATGGGAAGAGAGCAAAGGCATGATGCCCTAATGAGCTTTTTCCTGCAGACTCAGGAAAGCCTGGCCTTCCCCTTGCTGTAGGGGCAGAATTTAGTCTGTTCAGCACCAGGCCTAGTGTTGGAGACCCTCCTGAATCCTAGCCTTTCTTGGTCAGGGGCTCATCTGTCTGGTCTCTTCCTCACAGCTCCTCCAATGACACGGTACAGCCCCATGTTTGTCATGCAGCACATTGTGGGCGTGCCCCATGTACTGGTACGGAAAAGCTTCTTGGGAATGGACCTCATTGTGACAAGGACTCTGTGCAGTCCTGGTCCCAACCAGCCCAGAGAGAAGCGACCAGAGGCCGCAGCCTTAGGGTTGTATCACCGCCTCCCCGCACTGGGAAGAACACTGGGCCACACCATTCAGCAGCAAGCGGCCTCCACAGCCAAGGCTTGGTGGGACAGATACGAAGAGTTTGTGGGACTCAATGAAGTTCGAGAGGCCCAGGGAAATGTAACTGAGGTGAGGAGAGGAGCCAGGGTGCTTGCCTTTGCCTTCGTTTGGGGAAATACGACTTGGGTTCCTAACAAAACAGTTCCCAGCAGCACACGTGATGACGGTGTGGACACTGTTTGACGAGGCCTTCCGTGTCCTTGACTGGCCTTGGAGTCTCTCTGTAGCCGAACTCCTGATCTTCCTGTGTCCACCTCCTGAGCCTGGGATTTCAGCTGCGTGCTACCACAGCTGGCCTTCTTTTCTTTCTAAGACAGGGTTTTGTCCAAAGTCCAGTCTGGCCCGGAACTTACAGTATATTCTAGGTGGCTGCGAACTTGTGATCTTCCTGCCTCAGAGCTGAGATTATAGGTGTGGGTCACCATACCAGCTCAGACTTGCCTTTTCTGAACTGAACATCACTGGTAGAAACATTTGACTCTCTCACGCGGAAATCTGGGTCTGTTTTACTGGGGTGAAGGTCTCTCTGTAATTATACCCACTGCTCTCCGCTAAAATGCCCTAGCCTATGACTTCCCAGTTGTATTAGGCCAGCAAATGTCCTTTGTGGATTTTGCCTATGGTGTAAAGGCAGAGGGCACTGGGAAACATTATATTGGGAAGTAGACAGAGCCGCCTGTGGTTTTCAAGTCCTTGGTGGCAGCGGAAGTACATCCCGTCAACTGCCCCCACCCAGATACAGAGCAGTGTGGCAAGGGAGGAGGAAACTGAGGCTTAGGCACTGGTGTCTCTTCTCCTTGGATACTGTTTGTACCGGTGAGCTTTGCTGAGTTGGAATTTCCAGGGCCATCAGCTGGAGGCTGTAGCGATGCTTTGGTGGTGGTACTGCAGGCCTCAGCAGCACACTGGAAACAGCATAAGAACATTGGTTCCTCGTGGTGGTTTCCATCCGACAGGAGTTGGCTGATATTAGTGGACAAAGATTGTGTCACTGTTTGCTTTTTGCAAGTTTCTCAGGGGCATGTTATTTCTGCTTGAATGAATAAATCCAGTGCTTCACATGGGCGTGGCCTACGGCTGCTTGTTGAGCATGCCAGAGTGAGCCGGGATTAAGGTCCAAGAACTGTTTCTACCTTTCACAGTGACACCCCAGTGACCTCTGTTCAGCTGTGGCCTTGTTAGCTGTGAAGCTAAGCCCGGATGGGGATGGACAAAGGTCTAATGGCATCTGACGTTCTCTCTGCAGGCAGAGAAAGTGTTCATGGTGGCTCGTGGCCTTGTCCGAGAGGCTCGGGAGAATTTAGAGGCACAGCAGGCTAAGCTGAAGGAGGTGAGGGACCGTTTGGATCGGGTCTCCAGGGAGGACAACCAGTACCTGGAACTGGCCACTGTGGAGCACCGGATGCTGCAGGTGAGCCCCTCAGGCACCTGCACAGGGTCCTAGACCCCAGCACAGCAGGTTGTGGAGGAGTTTAACCCTGACTGTTAATTAGATGCTCCTAAGGTGGCCATGGCCCCAGGTTTCCGGAGCCTGTGTGCCTGCTCTTTCCTGAGTACTGGGCGAAGAGACCAGCAAAGGACTGACACCCGAGTGATTGAAGAGCGTGTGGAGGTGCTGGCTCAGGGAATGCCGCCCACTTATTTCCTAGAGACGTGTTCTGCATGACTGCCCAGTGGGAAGATCTTGTGGCCACCTTTCACACACACACACACACACACCTCCCAGCTCTGCTCCTACCACCAGCCAGGTGTTTTTTGTCTTCTTCAGGCAGCAGGTGTTTGTGGAGCCAGGGGCAGGGGAGTGGCCCTGTGCCACTGGCTGCAGTCACAAGCTCCTGGTTGCTGCCTGACACCCTTTGCTCCCACAGGAAGAGAAGAGGCTCCGAGCAGCATACGTGCGCGCAGAAGACTCAGAGCGGGAGAAGTTCTCTCTCTTCTCCGCAGCTGTGCGGGAGAGTCATGAGAAGGAGCGCACGAGGGCTGAGAGAACTAAGAACTGGTCCCTCATTGGGTCAGTCCTCGGAGCTCTGATCGGTGTGGCTGGCTCCACCTATGTTAACCGTGTCCGGCTACAAGAACTGAAGGCCTTACTCCTGGAGGCACAGAAAGGGCCTGTCAGTCTCCAGGAGGCCATCCGTGAACAGGCTTCTAGCTATTCCCTCCAGCAGAGAGACCTCAAGGACCTTATGGTGGATTTGAGGGGCCTGGTGCACGCTGGGCAGGGCCAGGGCTCCGGGTCACCAAAAGGGTCCTCTTCTATCCAAGGGAAGGACATAGAAACCCTTTCAGCTGCCATGAGAGAACAGCTCAGTCATTCTCGGCAGGTCCATTCCTGCCTAGAGGGTTTACGAGAGCAGCTTGATGGCCTGGAAAAGACTTGCAGCCAGATGGCTGGGGTGGTTCAGCTTGCAAAGGCTGCAGCACATCCAGGCCCAGTGGATCCAGTAGATGGGACCCTGCCCAGCTCTTTGCTGGAACAAGGGAGCATGGTCTTGGCCCTGTCCGATATGGGGCAGAGGCTAGAAGCACAAGTCAACAGAAATACTATCTGCAGCACACTGGTCACCTGTGTGACCTTTATGGCCACATTGCCTGTGCTATACATGCTCTTCAAGACCAGTTAGCCCTGGGGTCCTTCTTCAGAGGGGCCTAAGGGTGAAGGTGGCTGTCGTTGGTGATATAATCAGTCTTCAGGCGCATATAGCCTCAGACTGAGTGTCATCTAAGGAGCTGACCAGCAGGTGTTTTTTATTTTGTAGGTAATACTTATTTACATAATTATCAAAACTTTCTGTAAATGTTCAATTAAAATATCTAAGAATTTGTATTATTTAAAAGGGTTTTACATCAGACTCAGTTTTGTCATTGACTTCAGAAATCTGGGACGTGGGGTTCTGCTTGAAGTAAGAGAACTCACCCTTTCTTACCTCATCTTGGTCCTAGCTCAGGACTGTGTTAGATGAGGTTAGCCCTAAGGTCTAGATTCTCACTTTGAATATACTGACTTACCCTCTGATGGCTGGTCCTTCCTGTCTTCCTGTTTTGTCTGTTCAAGTGAACAGAACCTAGCCTGGTGCATAGCTTTTTGCCATGGGGTAGGGAGGAGAGGAATTTCCTGGGTTTGATGTTGAAGTGTGCTCAGAAGAAAAGAAGAGATGGAGGACATCATTACAGATCCATGGTTTGTCTGCATCCTTGATGCCCTGGTGCAAAGTATTCCCCATGTGCCTGGACCCTCGAAAGGCCTGGGCCTAGTTCAGACCTATGCGGGTAGCAGCATGGAGAAGTAGTTAAAGGTGCAGTGAAAAACAGGTGTGGACTGCCCTGAGAACTCTGACCTCTTTTCAGAGGAACAGTGACCCTTGACTTCCTCAGTTAAACGGCGTGGGTGGCCTTGTGTAAACAGAATTTGTGGAGTGTTGTTCGGTGCCTGAGTATTAGGGGTGTAGAACCATAGTGGGGAGTCAATTTAATAGCACTCCCCAGAGGGCACCTGCACCCCAGAGGGCACCCTCACCCCCCAGGGTCACCACAGCCGTACACTTCAGGTGGGAGCTTGTTTGTGCCTGTGGAGCCACAAGTGTTTCCCACCAGGAGCCTCTACTCTTGGATGAACTGTGCTCATCCCTAAACAGCAAGCATGGCCCAAATGGCTCCTCGAGTTCAAGAACCTCTGAGAACCTAGTCTCTTGGTCATTTGGACACTTCATTCTCGGTATACAGTGGTTCCCAAGGGGTGAAACAACCCCAGCACCTGAAGGGCCAGGAAGTGTCCTAGCTGTACGGATGAGGCCAGGCTCCTCTCTGGGATAAAGTTAGCTCCAAGGAGAATGCACTTGAGTAAGTGGGTTTGAGAGCGGACTCCCCACGCACGGAAGGGGCTCTCCTATAAGTTGCAGAAGTGGATGGGAGGAGGGAGTCAGGGCAGACCGTCCCAGCTGAGGTGGGGATAGATCTGGGAGAGCTGTGGAGCATAAGGCTAGAGGGTGGGGAAAAGGCCTTGGAGTCCTGGGCTGGCAGTCTGAATGTCCGGCCTGGGTGAGGGAACCGGGAAGGGTTGTCACGATGTGCTGACGACGTCCTAGGTGACTGAAATCAGGTGCTGAAGGTGGGGGCGGAGGAAAAAGAGGGGTGATTCGGGACCTCAGGGGAAGGCTGTTTTAGACAGCACGAAAATGAGTGAAAGGACCGTCTTACAGCTTCAACAGCTGCCATGAAACACCATGGCCAAAAGCGAGCTGGCGAGGAAAGGGTTATTTGGCTTATGTTCATCATTTACGAAGTCTGAACAGGAACCCAAACAGGGCAGGATCCTGGAGGGGTGCAGAAGACACGAAGGGGTGCTGCTTAGGGGCTTGCTCCTCAGGGCTTATTCAGCAAGCTTTCTGATAGAATGCAGTACCACCTGCCGGGTGGCTCCACCCACAAGGGGCTGGGGCCTCCTCCATCAATCACTAATGAAGAAAATGCCCTACAGCGGGATCTTATGGAGGGATTTTTCTCAGCTGAGGTTCCCTTCTTTCAGATAACTCAAGCTTGGTCAAGTTGACATAAAACAAGCCAGCACAGCCCCCACCCCACCCCTGAGACGGGGCGGAAGGGTGTGGTGGAAGAGGAGCCTGGCCTCAGCTCTGAGTGCCATGACCTACGTGGAAGGCTTCCTTGCTGAAGAGCCCTCTAACCTTAGAGGCTTCTATATATAGCAAATTTTGCCTTTCTGGATGTTGTGCCGATGCCCTTGAGCTAAAGTCCTCCAAAAGTCCTCAGGATGGGTCAGGTCCTGGCTCCACAGATTGCCGTCGGCAAGCCTGGGTGTGAAAGGCCCTGCATTAGACTCAGCGCACTGCGCCTCGGGAGAGAACTTCTGCCCAGGAAGACCCAGGTGTTTTCCAAGGAGGGAGTCCAGACTTGCTCAAAGCTTCTGAGTTCTGGATAGCTCGAGGTACGGGCGTTGGAGGAAAGGAAGGAACTGAGACCCCACTTAGGCAGGCAGCGTGTTCTGCTTTCACATCCCTGCCTATGGGTGGTATCACCCCCACTTGCGGGTGAGCAAATAGGTTGGGGGAGAGGTGTCAAGTTACATGGCTTAGTGATGGCGCAAACTTGGGTCCAAAGCCCGGGCTCTCCTCAAACAGCCAGGGGTGGGGGCCGGAAGGAGAGGTTGGGTGTTGCGGAGTCCTGGGAGAAGGAGAGGTGGGCAGGGCCAGGTGAGAAGAGGAGAAAGCTGGCGCCTAGGAGTTCAGGTGAAGAAAGTTGAGGGAAGATGACTACAAGGGCCAGGAACTAGAAGGGAAAGAGGGCGCTCGGGGCGCAGGGCGAGGCGCGTAGGGAGTAGTGAAGATGGTGGTTTGGAAACAGGCCGGGCAGGTGAGGGACACGAGTCCCATCGAACTCTGGCTGGGCAAGTGCTGTATCACTACAACCAGGAGTAAGCCAAGCAACCATGGCCGCGGCCTCTAGCGTTCGGTGAGTGGGGCGAGCGGCTGGACTCGAGCCGCGCGCAGGTGAGGCCCCCGCTGGGCGGGGCGGACCGCCCACGCTCCGGGCTAGGCTCCTCACCCTACACGTCCGCGTAGCCATGGCTACCGCCGGGTTGCAACAACCCCCACTTAATGAGAGGGGCTGATCACCCCCCCACCCCGGCCCTTCACAAACTCCGATCCCGCGGGACCGGAATGAAGGGTCCCGGGGGGCTGGGGCCGCGCACCCCGCTCTCCAGGCTGCTTCCGGCCTGACCCGGGCGGCGCGCGGGGGGAGGGCGGCCCGACGGGAGGGGGGGGTGGAAGGAGCGGAGCCCGGGCCGGCCGACGCGGCTTTGTCTCCTTTGTTCCCAGCGGTGGCAGCGCCGCGGCGGGAGGGGCGGGCAGCGGGCGCAGTTTTCCGCCCCTCGGTCTCCGGGTAACAGCTGCGGCTCCGCCAGACCCACCTCCGGGGGGAGGGAAGGTCGCCGCGCGCAGATCCCGAGCGAGCCCGGAGCTGCCCGCGGACGCCTCGCCCCGCGCATCCCGCAGGCAGGTCGGGCGGTAAGTTGCGGGGCTTGGGCTGGGAAGGCGGGGCCGGGCCGAAAGCCGCGCGCACCCAGGTGCAACGACCCGAGGCCTCGGTCCCGCTGGGCACGGGCAGCCCGAGTGGAGTGGTGGGCGGCTTCTGTCCAGAGAGTTGGGACCACACTCGTGCGCGCGAAGGCAAACTCTGGCGGCACCGCCTGTAACGCGATTGGGAGACAGAGGAGGTGGAGCTGCTCCTCCGCGCCCCCTCCTCGCTGCAGCCACTGCCGCTGTCGGGACCGGCCGGCCCCTTCCCCGCCCTCCCAGGGCCAATGGTGGGGTCTTTGTCCCGTGGCGCGGTGGAGGGCGGAGGGCTGAGGATGAGCCGAAGCGGGCAAGTGGAGGCTTCCCCAGAGGGTAACAGACCCTTCAGGCTGAGGCCGACATAGGAGGGAGACCACGAGCCTTCTAATTCTGGGACTCAGTCTTGGTACCGACATACCCAGCGGGTGCTTGATGAGCCCCTTAATTTATCGCGGCTGTTTGGTCAACGATGGCATCCCTCTACCCCACTCAACATCCAGAAAGCAGGTGTGCAATGCACACCATTTCACAGTCAATGAGTAACGCTCTCCTTTAAGTGGATACTGGTACGGGGGCTCAGGAAGGGAAGGCCGGTTTCCCACTCCAACTCCCAGGTACAATACATGTACAGGTGCAGATGGGATGAATTTGGAAGCCCTCTTAGAGCAGCTGCAGGAGTGGGGGTCAGGTGGCGCTTGCCCTTTGCAGAAGTCAGGCAAGCAGTCTTGGGCCCCGCTGGGGTTTCAGGGAGTGTGGGCTCTGAAGAGGCCTGTGGGACAGGCCTGGGCACAGGCAGAGTTAGACTTTGGCTATGAGCCTGGACAGAGTCTGAGATGTGGGGAGTTGGGAGGAGATACTGGCAGTGCAAGTTAGGGGCGTGAGGCTTGGCTCCAAATAAGCGTTTTCAGTCTGCTCTAGTCTGATCATTAATAAAACTGGGCCAATTCCTTGTGGGTTTGTTTTTTTTTTTTTTTTTTTTTTGGTTTTTCGAGACAGGGTTTCTCTGTGGCTTTGGAGCCTGTCCTGGAACTAGCTCTTGTAGACCAGGCTGGTCTCGAACTCACAGAGATCCACCTGCCTCTGCCTCCCGAGTGCTGGGATTAAAGGCGTGCGCCACCACTGCCTGGCGAATTCCTTGTGTTTGGAAAGCAGTGTGTAAGCTCCGTGCTACCCCTACCCTTCTTTGGCCGTGAAATGGGGGCTCATTCACCATGTAGGGAACACCTGCTTTGCGCTGGGGTTGCCGGTTGCTGGGGTCTCCTAATTAAAAGTGGGAACTCTGCGCCTTGTCCAGAGAGGGAGGCTGCAGCTGGAGAAAATGGTCTTGCGGCCCACTGGGCTCCACCACATTTACTGATTGGAGTGGTCCTACCTTCTCTCCCACCAATGGGAATCTGAGGCTCAGAGCCGGAGGAAATTGAAGCTGGTGACTAGGTGTGTCCATTTCTTCTACGACACAGGGTCACCTCCTCAGCCTGGGAAGCCTAGGAAGGCTCTCCAGGGAGGTGATGGTTGGGCGCGGGAGGGAGTGGGCATTCCAGGCCTAGGGAACAGCCCTTGTGATGGCAGGGAGAGAACAAGCCTGCAGTTTAAGCAGGAACGAAGAGCATTTGTGGAGGTGGTTGTAGATGAGAGGGGCCTGACCTTCACTCCTCCAGACCCAGGGTACCCCAAAAGCTTGAGGAGTGTGCGCACTCCATTTTTGTTTAAGGAAAATCCAGTGAGCTCTTCCTAGATGGGAGGGACTAGGGATCCCTCTGTGGCGGGTAGCCGAAGTGA